TAGAAGCTAACCTGAGACATCAGCCATCAGCCAAATAGAAATTGCCAAACACTCCTTAAGAACACAAAGCCCACATTGCACAAATCCCAGAACTTCAAAGTCACAAAAGCACATAAGAATCCTTCCACTCTCCATCTCCCTCCGTGGTTCACCTCCAGCCGGTGCTGCCTTTCTTCATTGCTGTCTTTCTTCATTGCTGTCTTTCTTCATTCCTCATGGAGGGCAAACCCTCCTCCCTTCGTTCCTTGCCTCTTGGTGTCTGCCAGCACATGTGGCTGCCAAAGAAGTTGTAGATCCACTTGTGGCCGGCCTGCTTGATCTCCTCTCCTCTCCCCCCTCCTCCTTCTCCTTCTTTCCATTCCATGCTGCTAGAGCTGACTCTGCCTTCTCCCAAGGCTGCTTCTTTTTCTCTCTCTCCTTCTCCCGGCCCAAACTGCCTCCTTTTATACCCTCTCCTGTCTCCTCCTTTCTCATGGGGGAGGACATTCCTTCCTTCCTGGAGCGTTTCCAGTATTTATTCCTGTTGGACTTGTGCAATTTGATGATGGAAACTGATCCCAACCAGGAACGATTTTTGTTTTTCCATCTTTCAGGATCCCATTTAACTTCTTGCTGCAATTTGCTTTGGAAATGACTTAAAACAAATAATATTTTGAGGACTGAAAAGGGATCTTGGCCTGAACTAACCAACTTGGTCTCCTGTTCTGGCTCCTCCTGTGTCTCCCCCATGTCCCTCCTCCCTTCCAGCCAAACCCACCGTCTCCATCTCCCCCACCAAGCTGGATCCCACTTCCCCCCTCACCATCCTCCTCTGCACCGCCAGGGGCTTCTACCCTGTGGAGATCAAGGTCCGGTGGCTGAAGAATGGGCGGCTGGAGGAGGAGGGCGTGGCCTTTGGGGAGGAGCTCCAGAATGGAGACTGGACCTACCAGCTCCAGGTGATGCTGGAGACCCAGCCCCAGCGGGGGGACGTCTACACCTGCCAGGTGGAGCACGCCAGCCTGGAGGCCCCCATCACCGTCCAATGGGGTGAGCCCCTCCCCTCCATCTCCTCCTGGTCTGGGGACCCCATCCTGCCCTGAGAAGGGGGGAGGGACCCTCCCTGTGGGGGGAGCTGGGATGGACCTTCCTGGGGGGGAAGCTGGCCCTGATCTTCCTACTCAGGGGAGGCTCCTTCTCCTTCCCCAGAGCCCCGTTCCTCCAACTCTGCCAAGAGCAAACTCTGGACAGGGATCGTGGCAGCCGTGATCGGGGTGATCTTCTTTGCCATGGGGCTCTCCCTCTACCTGAAGAGCAAGACAGGTGAGTCTGGGGGGCTGGATGAGAGATTGTGGGGAGGGGACCATCCAGGGGAGGCCTCTCAGCAAGCTTAGCAAATGGCAAGGAGGCTCCCCTGGGAAATTTGCTTGGGAAATTCTGTTCTCTGAGAGTCTACTGTATAAGTGAGCATCCTGCAACCTATTATGGGCTATCCATGGGGAGCACCTCCCCCCCCAGTCCTCCAGCCCATGAAGGGTCCTGATTGGCTCTTTTTCTCCTTCCAGCAACTCCTATCCAGCCTCCTTCAGGTGAGTTTCTCCCCAAGTTATAGATCTTTCTTTAACATTCGTTAATTGTTCCTTAAAAAAAAAAAAGTGCCTGAACAATACCTCCTTGCTGTGGATAACACAAATTTTTGAAATTTTGGTCAGCTTTTCATTACAGAGACCTTAAAACAGTGCAATCAAAAAGAAACACACACATAAACACTAAAATCTTCCCCAGGATGTTTCCAGGTTTTGGGAAATTGCAAAAGAGAAGGGAAGTCTCCTTGTGACGTTTCTCACAATTTCTGGCCAAGGGACACCCAGCTTTGCTCCCCCCCATCGTAGCCCCATCTTCTTTGTTGATATGAAACGTCTGGGGGGGGAGGCCTCCTTTCCTGATTAACCCCCCAGTTAAGTCAATTGGGGAAAATTCAATAAGCCCCTGGAGATGAATTACTGGTGCTTTGCATCCTTTTCCTCTTTGAAAAAAAAAGGGGGGGCACTCCCTCATTTTGTTCCTACCTATCAACCACCCCCCTGCAATGTGGGCCTGTCTGGGGGGGGTGGCTGAAAGAGAGGAATAATAAGCTTTTTACACTGGCTTCACTTTATTTTCTAACTTTCTTCCCCGTCTCTTTTTTTCTACAGCACTCATGAATTAATCCTGCCGTCCTTCCTGCTTCCTGGTGGGAAAGGAAGGGTTTTTTTCCCATTAGCTGATGAATTTCTGTCTCTTTCTTGCAATTTCTGAAAAATGGGGGGGGGTCAAGTTTTTAGATTGGGGGGAGGTGGAGAATGGCAGCCTGGAGCTTTTCCTGCTGAGATACCTCTGGCTTCTGGGGAGCCATTGGGGGACACCCGAGACTCCCCCTACACTCACCCAGCCATTTGTGCCATTTCTTTCCTTCACAACTGGAGGGTCCTGCCCCATTTTGGCACCCAGCACCTCCCTCCCTCCACCTGGGACCCCAGAGGCCTTTTCCAGGACTGCCCACCTATCGCCACTGCCGCCCCACCGCCCTTCCTGCCTTCGGGTCTGAAGCCCCCTCCCTCTGGGCAGAGGAGACCCCTAGAGCAGCGTCTCCTGCACAGTTTGAGGGTCCTGTGCTTCATGTCCTTGGTGGAGGACCCTGTCCCGACCCGATGGTCCCCAACGGAGAGAGTCTTGTGCGAGTCTCCCTTGTGGCCCCCAACTGGAACTCATCTGAGATTCCTCCCCCTCAGAAAAGGCCCTGAGTGATCCTGTGGCCAATGGCCTTGATCTCTGGGAAGGTTGCACTGATGTCCATCTCCCTGGTCTGAGGGCTCCTGGGCAGGGGGTGTTGGGAAGGGTGTCTTCCCCAGGGCCTCTTTGGGCCAGAGGAGAAAGTCCACCCGAAGCCATTCCTGGTGTAGGAGACATTTGCCATCGGGGGGGGGGAGGGAGAGCTTCTCTGCGGGAGAGAGGAAAGATCAAGAGGGCAAATCTGGGTGGAAGGCCCCTCCCTTCTCCCCAACACCTTTAGATTCCCCTAGATCAGTGGTTCTCAACCTGTGGGTCGGGACCCCATTTGGGGTCGATCAACCATTTCATGGGGGTCGCCAAGCAAGGCTGTCCGCCATTTTTTTGTCCACCATTTTTTTGTCCGCCATTTTTTCCCCCCTTTTCCAGCGGGTGCCTTGCCTCCCTTGGGCTGGGCCAGCTGGTGATCGGCCTGCTCCGTCTCTGCCGCTTGC